GGGACTGAGACGTCCCAGTCAAGGCCCATAGGTCCATTCACAGCACTAACGCGATGTCAGGGCCTGTGAGCTGTTAGCATCTGAGGAAGGAGTTAGGGGAGCTCTGCACCGTTTCTGTCAGCTCTTCCATATGCCTTAGATTATCTCAATCTCAAAAGTATACAAAATAGTTCGACCTTTTCTGCTGGTTCATTAGGTTTATCTTTCGACTCCCTCATCATCCATCAGTTTATTTAAACTTTTTGAGGTTGTTCTACACACCCAACAATATGTTAGAAGCTTGGGGCCAGACAAAAGATTGGCAAGTTCTACTGTGGGGAAGGCTCACAGTGCAGGGAAGGGCTGTGAAATGCTGACGGAGCTCAGGAAGGGCAATTGTCCCAAACTGAGCAGCTACACCACAATCCCTGGAAAGCCAGCAGGGCTGTGGGTTCAGGTCTGCCCTTGTGAAATCTGCCCTTTCTCTCTGCTCTTCAGAATTAAGGCTTCTTGTAAACCTCTTTCCTTTGTTTCTGACACAGAAATGCTTGGGGATAATCTCTCCTTGCATTTTCTTAGGATGATTTTTTTTGCCCCTTTGCTGGTCGATGTGGAAGAGACTGTGGGTGTATCTCCATCACACCACACACAGGGGGACCCAAGTCCGGCAGGAGGGCTTGGACTGACAGTCCCAACTTCACGGTGTCCTGTGTGGCTCCTGGGGACTACAGAGTATTTCAAACTGCCAAGAAAATATATGGGGTTGCCTAGAAGAACTTCTGAGTGGGAAAAAAAGAGAAGAAATGAAATGTAAGTAAAGGTAGACAGACATGATGAAAGGAAGGAGGTGCACTGTTGAGATGCCTGGGGTTGGGTGGTGGATCTCCTGTGCGGCTCAGCCTCGCGAGGGTAACACATCTCAGAAGGTTACTGAAAAATGATTGGTATTTTGTAGTTATCAAGGGACCCTGGCAACCCCAAGGCCTGTGGCAGATGAAAGGACGTCTCGATTCCAGCCACATGCACAAGTGTCTGAGGACCCAGTGCTAAGCCTGAAGCAGCTACAAATGGCTGGGGAGTAAAGGGTTTCTCACCCACTGCATACAAGCCACTTGGAGCAGATGCCCCACATCAGCCCCAAACTCCTCACCATGGCCCCAGATGACAGGCACTGGCACCACCTGCTCTCCGACCACCACCACTTCCCCCGCTGTTCCAGGCTGTCCCATCAGACTCCTTTCCACCCCTTCTGCCCTTGACATTCCTTTAACTGTGATTCGCATGATGTGAATGACTGGGCTAAAGGAGTTAGGGCGAATCTGTGTGGTCTGCTCTGAATATTGTAACCCGTACCCCAAAGGTCAGTCTGGGGCAACTGAACTCACCAGGACGGGTCCTGGACGCACAGGAGGCAGTCACCACGACAACACCCGAACGCAACACGAGGAAGCCACCGGCCTGCATAAGGATGCCGTGAATAATCAACATACATTTATTTTTGAATGACTTAAGGATCATGAGAGAGAAATGTTAACTCTTGCATTATAGAAACAGTAGTTAGATACAGCACACGGGAATGCCATTTGAATAACAAGTGAAAGTACGACAGCAAATGAAAAACAGCAACTTTAAATACAAAGGTAAATCAACTGAATAAGAAATTTTGTTTATAAGAAAAAAATATATGTCCCATGTCTTTATTACATACTGTACAAAATAAAATATTGCACCTTTAAGTCATATAATAAATATATACAAAGAGTATTTTACAAATGATCTTTCTTTTAATTTAAAAACCATCCACAATCAAGTGTGAGTGGGGATTAACAGCTCTAAAAAATATATGTCCCATGTCTTTATTACATACTGTACAAAATAAAATATTGCACCTTTAAGTCATATAATAAATATATACAAAGAGTATTTTACAAATGATCTTCCTTTTAATTTAAAAACCATCCACAATCAAGTGTGAGTGGGGATTAACAGCTCACGGGTGGCGTGTCCCCTTCCTGGTCGCCCAAGCACTGCGCCCCCGTGTACGGCAGGGCTCGTCCCGCGTTAGGGGGCTGAGGTCCAAATGCAGGGCCCGGTGCTCCGCCCGGTAGATGCAGAGAGCTCGCCCACTCGCTCCCCAGCAGCGGGGCTCGGGCGGCACAACCTGCTGCGGGGAACTGTTGCCAGCGGGCTGTGGGCGGCCTGCACACGTGCAGCTGGGACGCTGAATGAGCAGGTCTGACCACTTACTTGGGGACGTGCGCCGTCTAAAGCCATAACTGGCAGAATGTAGGGGGAAGAGCCCCAGAACCCCAGTCAGCTTTAGAACCTCCAATTCAACGCTGGCCCCAAATGGCTTCAGCAGCGACATTGACCCCAAACACAGCATCTCCCTGATACTGTCACTCACAGCTCCCTGGGGACCCTGTCAAAACGCAGTCGGAGTCTGCCCGCAGCTGGCCCGAGCCCTGCCCCCTGAAGCCGGCTCTAGCCTTCACCCTAAGTGAGCTCCCACTTTCACCTGCAGTCTGACGACTAACACTGACCCTAAACTTACTCAGCAAATCCGAACTCTAATCCCCAGACCTACCTCTAACTTCCAGCCTCACCGTAGTTTACTTTGGATTTACTGAAAAATCAGTCCAAATGAAAACAATTATTTACTATAAACAGTTCTTCTCAACTGTCATGTTTCATATTTAGATTACTTTCTTATAGTTTCTCCAAAATAAAAATCCTTAGGAATACTAATTTTATGGATAAATTAGGTCTAATAAGGCTTTGCTTTTGCTTATGTGCAAGAGAATAGTGCTCAGAAAAAGTTTCATTCACAGCTCTTAAAAGAAAGCTTTGAATATACTTCAAAATCAGTAGAAAAGGTTTACTTTCCCTCTCCTTTGATTTCCAAGATGTCTCCTGTGGTCCCAGATTTCTGTAGTTGTAAAAATGGCAGCAACACTTGCTCTGTCTTTTCTTGCATGGATTCCTAAAAGTGAGGACAAGATACCACCCCACCATGACCCTTGGATTGGCCAGTGTCACCAGCCTGTCCAGAGCCATTGTCTTTTCTTCACCGACTAAACTTAAGGATCCATAAAAACGCCATAAGCACCAACATTTCACAACTGGCCACAGTTTCTAAAACCTAAGTGCCTTGTAAACCTGTTGAAACCCTAAAACTTGAGAGAAGAGAAAGTCATCACTTGCTGTGTGTCCCAAGTCCTCAGGACATCCCGCTCTGTCCTGGTCCACATGTCACAGGAAGAAACAGCATGAGACAAGTGCTGGTGATCTCGGTGGCTTCCCGATTAGGGCACCATGAGGTCCCAGGTGCAATGCCTGCTATGGTATTCGTGTTAGTCCTGGAATATATCAATGAAAAGATGGGTTAAAAACTCACCAAGGGCAAATGACAGCACAGAATTCTAACCATGCCGATTTTGCATGGACCTCGGTTTGACCGCAGAATCAAGAGCTCTTAAAGAAATACGCTCTTCAACCAGGCTCACAGGGAAAAGAGCTTTTCATTTTTGTTCTATCTTCACAGTAGCTTTATGACCCACCCTCACCCCCAACCAAAGGCTTATCCTTCTGGACTTGGCTGGCAACACCTTTGTCTGTAGAGGCCTAATGAATGCAAATTAAGGTGCTTTACAGACATATGGGAGGGACTTGGGTCTGTGGAGCTTCCTGCGAAAACAAAATCCATTTAGCACACAGATCATTAGAGACCAAGTGTTTTGTTCTATGAAAAGTGTAAGTTGAGATCGCAGAGTGAAGGGAAGAAACTAGGCGTGGCTAGGGCCACTGCTTTGCGCTAGAGTCAGAAGTGCACTGAGCTCACTTCTCAGCCTCGACAGTGACCTGTCACTGCTCCCTGGGGACCTCACAGCCCTCCTGGGCTTAGAGCTGTGGCACTGAGCTTTGGGAGGATCATGGACCCCTTGGAAAACTTACAGAAGCTGTAGACCTGCACCCTAGAGAAACACACATACAATTTAATTGTACATATAACCCCAGGGCATTTGCACACCTGCACAGTCCCATCCATAGAATCCCTGTCTCAGGCAGAAGGGGAGTCTGTGCAGAGGCTGCCAGCGCTGGCTGGCGGGCAGTAACCAGTGTGGCCGACTCCCTGCTCATTCAACTGCTTTTCCGCTCGAGAATGCTAGTAGCCCCAGCACAAAGTGGCTAATCACCTACTGTGCCAAGATCCCGCCTCCTCTGCACGGCCCCCCAGATGCTACACCAACCAGGCAGGCACCTCGAGGGTCTGGTACCACAAGCCTTTGGGGCGGTCCTGATGCCTGAGAGGGGTACGTACTCTCACAGGGGGGCCTGAGACAGGGCAGCCAGGAAGCTGGTTTCTTTGCAGGCACACAGTGTCTCTCGGCCACCGGTTTGCAGCTGCTGGCGTGGACACAGTCAACCCTGCGGGACTGGAAGCCCTGGCCGCAGGCTGCTGTGCAGGCTCTCCAAGGGCCTGTGCGCCAGCACACATCACAAGCCACCGAAGAGCAGTTCTTCTTTAAGGTGGGTCTGCAATGAAACAAACAAAGAGTGGGACATGGGAGAAAAGGGGCATAACTTCTTGGATCCAGCCTTTTACTGCACTGAATTTTCAATATACTGAAGGTCTGACAATTAGAACCCTATTCGTCAGGCAACTGATTTGCATGCTCAGGGTGACTTAGCAGTGGTGGTACAGCCACGACTATACCAGAGGCAAGCAAACCACGTTTCCACGAACTTCCAACACCACGCCAAGGCACACACCTCAAAAGGTACGCCGTCCTGATTAGCTGGAGCGCATCGAGTTTGGCAAGGAAGAGAGGAATGACTTCCCATCAGCGGCTTCTCATTCATCAGCACACTTCGAGCTTGCTTACATTGTACTTGCAATATATTCCAGTGTGAGTACAAATGTGTGTGCGTGGCATCCCATGGAAGAGAAAGGCTTTCACATTTGCATTCAGGCCACACCATGACTCACAGTCAGAGCCAACCAGCGCCATTTGGGGAAAGGGGGCTCTTGCTGGTCTCCTTGCCCTTTAAACAAAACTGGAAGTTAACGCCCTCGGATTTTCGAAAAGATAGTTACCCCGGAGGGTACAGGCCCCCTCAGTGGGCCCCCTCTGGGTACGTGGCCCTGCATCTAGGACAGGGCTCCTGGAAGATGGGCTGGCACCGTGTGAGACAGCCCCCCGCCCGCAGAGGTGACGGGAAGAGGGCTCTCTCCCTCCCAGGAATGTGGAGGTCGCTGGGACAAGGCATGTGAACCTGAAGGCTGGAGCCATGGTGGCCATATTCTGCCACGTGGGTCAGAGAAGTAGAAGAAAGACTATTCAGAAAGAACAGGGGGATGAATGAGTAACACAGCCATGAGTGGGAGGAGGAAAAATCCCTAATGAGTTCTCGTTTCTTGGTTACAGTCCTTCCTGACGGCTGACAGCTTGAGACATTTTTGGGGTTCCTATAGCAAGGCACCTTATCAGGACGCATAATCTATCAGGGGTGCTGAATCACCACTGGAAGGGCAGTAAGACGGAGAGAATTGTGGTGACCTGAGGATCTCCAGGGAGAAGTTGGAGGCAATACTGCGATTAGCCAGTAGGGGGAGACGCCACCAAAGGGTTTACCTAACACTGACCCCACTGCTTATGAGGTTTACCAGCAGGAGAGACAGGAGGGCGACTGGTCACTGCAGAGGTTTGCTTCCTCGGTGGATATGAATCTTAGTGCCAAAAGTTGAGTTTCTCTGGACACAGGGCAGAGACTGAATACTCACCCTGTAGAGATCAGCTTTTCAGAAAAAGGTTGAACAATGTCCAAATACTCAAAGAGCACATTTTGAGTGTCCCTACAATGAGGAGACACCAAATTGTACACAAGTATTGGGTGGTCCTGTCTTCATAAGAAATCTACCCACTTTGTATAAATCATTCCGAGCTGACTTTTGTTGTTTCAAGCCCGGAGGACCTTAAATCACAGAGACATTTCTGCTTTGACAGAAGGCAGGGCCAGTGGGGAGTCAGAAGGAACTAGTGAGCTTCCTGGATAGAAAAGACGGGAGGCGCCCAGGGAGCTAGAGAGCAAGGCAGAAGCTGAAGCCACAGGCTGGTCACTGGGGATCCAGTGACAGAATGGACTGTGGGTCTAGCAGAGTGTATCACTTCCCCCTGGCCGGGGGACACCTAAGCTAGGGGGACCCAGTCTGGGCACTGGCACGGTGCGCACCACTGGGGACTTGCGTGTTTCTGTCTAAAACATGGAAGTAGAAATGGCAGCAGAAATCACAAAGTAACCCTGTTTCTACTGGTCTGTCTCAGTTTCTCACTCCTATTCGGTCCACTCCTACCTCAAATAACCCCGGTCACCATTAGCCAAATGGAACCACTGATCCGGGAGGGCAGTAGATTCCAAGGCTGGCTGGTTGTCAGAAGTACGTGGGCAGCTTTAAAAAGATGCAACTTGCTGGCCTCCATTCCCAAAGATTCTGAGTCATTATGTGCAATCTGAGGCCCAAGAATTTTTTTTTTTAAGGAAACTTCCTGGGTAACTCCAACTCTTGTCTAAGGTCAGGAATCATTGCTTTGGGGAAAATTCTCCGTGTCCCCAAGCATTTGCTTGGGTCCCCATGTTGTCTTTTTGCCGTAGGCGTGGGGTGTCTCTGACCTGGTCGTCCTTACCCCCTCTATAACACTTTCTGGCGGAGCCCACACCTTCCAAGCCCTTCCAGGGCCTGCAGAGGAGGCTAGTAGCTGGCCTGCTCACCACTGATCCTCTACCCAGGTCACTAATAATGTCACACCCCATAAAATACCTTCTAACATTTACGGAGGCTCCAGCATGGCACTGGGGCTCTCCAGCTCACCCACTGTGCCCTCTCTATGCAGTCTAAGGGGAGATCTGATATCTCCTGCCTTCCTGGAACCCATAGTCAGCACGTCCAGGCAGCAGAAGAACTGACAAGGCCAGAAAACCTTGAAAGAAATGCACAGTAGCTCTCGACACTTAGACTTTCATCCATAAACCACCAGATATTTGAGGAAAACCAACAGCATGTAAGAAAAGCAGCAGGATATAAAAGCAGAACAGCCAACCCTGGAGAAAACAGAAATCATAAAGAAAATGAAAGGCGACTTAACTCTTTTCCCTTAAAGCTCTAGGAAGTTTTCTTCTATTATTTCTGTTAAAAATTTCTACCCTGCCAGTTATTTCCACATTTCCTTTTCTGAAACTCCATTTAATCAGAAATTGAATCTCCTAATAGATCTTCCCATGCCTTTTACTTTCTCTCTTTTCTGCTTCCTGCTTTTGCTACCACTGGTTGGAACGTTCACGGCGTATCCAAGGTGCTGAAAGAACAATGTGGCTAATGTGGCTGGAAGGCAGAGTGACGTCTTGGATGAAGACATGACTGTGCAGCATTTTATAAGCTATATTATGGATTTTGGTTAATCTTCCTAAGAGCAAGTGAAGCTGCTACAGTGATTTGAAGCTAGCAGGAGAGGGGGTGGGCTGGTGGTTTGATCAGATTTGCATTTTGGGAAAGATTTCTCTGGCTGAGTGTGGAGACCGGTTAGAGGGAGGAAGGATGCATCGAGGTAGACCAATAGGCTGGCCTGCCAAGCATAACTGTCGTAGACAAGGAAAAAAGTAGATGGGTTGGAGAAAAAAAATACAGGAGCCGAATGACATAAAAGAAAAAAGTAATTAGAAACGTACAAATTATAATAAGATACAAGTTTTCATCCATCAGATGGGCAAACATTTCTTTAAAATGGAAAATCTGTATAATGTTGATGAAAAAGGAGGCAGCTCTCATACACCGGTGGTAGAGACGCCTTGATGGGAATTTAGTATTATCAGAATAAACATGCCTGTTAATTCAATTCCATATCCAGAATCTATCATATGAAAATATTTCCCTTTGTGCACAAAGATAGTCAAAACAATTCAATGTCCATCAGCAATGCAATGAGATAATATTAAATAAAACAGTTAAAAAGAAGAGAGTGAATCTTGTGTACTACAATGGAAAAAGGGTCTATAATACATTGATAAGTACACACAGCAAGTTTCAGAAAAATATGTCTGGTATGTTAAAAGCCTCACTCCATCCACATGGGTGTCTGTGTTCCAAACCTCCATGAGAAAGCAGGGTGAAACTTCTGGGATGATAACACAGCACACTCGGTGTGGCCTCTATCTTCTCAGCAAAATGGGAAACCAGATGGTCCGCTGAGAACGAAGGCGGCTGTTCCAAACATTTCCTATTTGAAGGGGATGGTTCTGGCTTGAAATGCAACTGACATTATGTTGCCAAACCTCACTCAAGTCTCAAAACGTACCTGAGCCGACTGCCAAGGTCTTCTTTCCTCCCGCAAGACTCAGGATGTGGGGCACCTGCTATCAGCTGGCTACTTAGGTGCTGCACACTAAGTAAGCCAATCAAAACCTGCCCACCATTAATTTCCAATGGACCTTAACACACCCCATTTTGCAGATCAGGAGACTGGTCAGCCAAGGTCACACCGTAGGAGAATGGCAGAACGCCAGAGCCCATGACCAGCGTGCCCTTCAGCCTCTCGCCTGGCCCTCTGCTGGTGGGGCGCGCTCCCCGGTTGCGGGGGGTCGCCAGGTGGAAGGGGTCTGGGGCTCGCCGCGACCTCACGCACAGCGCTCTTCCGTCTGCGCCACCTACCCGCTCAGACTTTTATGCAGGAGAATAGCAAGCTCCTTTCTTGTTTAGGGCCCTCAACAAGATGAAAGCTTATTTTATTCTTGGCTAAACCCCTGGGCCAATCAATAGCCTCATGAAAACAGTTTGCACACAGAGGGATAAAGCAGTTCATTGAAAGCATTAGGGAGATTTAACCTGTGAGCCTGAATGGAAGGTAATCGGGCTCCACCAGCTTGGAATACAGGGAGAAACATCTGCCTATTCTCAAGCTACTCTTTTTTCTGGTTGGGGTGTCTCTCCCTCTGCTGAACACCCACATAATATAGTTTGCAATCACAAATAGTACTGATTAATTAATATTTAGCATATCGTATCCTATTGAGGATGGCTCTGCAAGAAATCACGATGTGAAGGGCTTGTCCACTGTGAGCCCGGCAGACGGAAGCAGCTCGGTTAGCAGGTAGCCACGGGCAGGACAGAGGCAGGGGAGGGGGCTGCTGCCTGGGGGGTGGGGGGGCAGTACCTCTTCCTGTCCCCGCAGTCAGAGGGAGAGCCGGTGTGGTGCTGACATACCCCGGACTGCCGCTGCGTCCCCACCGTGCGGCCCAGGCAGCGTCCACGACACTGGAACAAAGCAAAACACCATGTAAACAACCCCGCGAGCTCCCGCCTGCCCGGAATCAAGACGATGGACAGCCGGTCAAAGCCCAGCCCTGGGGGGCCGGCTGCCCTGGGGGGTGGGAGGCAGGAGGCAGGGCGGACGCGCAGCTCCGACGGGCACCGGGGAGGCGCCCGCGTATCCCCCCACCCCCGAAGCTGCGACCACCTCTGCGGGGAAGGGAGAGGGCAGGGCCGGTCTCCAACTGATGGGGCTTAGGGTCCAGCAACGGCTGGGCCTGAAACCGCAAGCAGCCGGCACGTCTGCGTTTTCTTACTCTGAGCAAACCTGGAGGCTTGGGTGGTAAGGTGAGTGCAATTACAGAAAAATAATTTTTTTGATGTGCAGTTCTTAAATTTGTATGTATATTCCTAATACCTCGTAATTTTTTTCTTATAATTTGTTTCATGCTTGAAAACGTCTCTCCCATCATGATAGCTCTATTTCAGGTTGATTTTACTTTGAGCGCTTTAATAAAGCCAGAATTTATTCGGGTGTGTGCTCCGGGTTAAGGCTCTGGTTTTACTTTCCTTTCTTACATTATTAACCAATATCCCCCATCCTATCTTTTTTTTTTTCTTTCTAACAACTTTGAGATAAAATTCACATACCATACAATTCCCCTTTAATGTATACAATTTAATGCTTTTTAGAGTTGGGCAATCACCACTATACTTTAGACACCTTCCATCACTCCAAAAACAAACCCCACATTCTTTACCAGTTCCCCCCAGTTTCCCCATCGCCTCTCCCCCCAGGCCTAGACATCCACAAATCCACTTTTTGTCTTTCTACAGATTTACTCATTCTAGACTCTGTGTGTAATGGCATCGTACAGTGTGTGGTCTTGTGTATCTCTTACCCTATTTACCCTTTACCATCAAAGTTTATCCGTGTTATAATATCTATCAGCACTTCATTCCTTTTAATGGTCAGGTAATATTCCACTGTAGAAATAACCCATTTTATTTATCTTTTCATTTTTCCCCTTTTTGTGATTATGGGTTGTGATTTAAGTTGTTCCCACTTTCTGGTAATTACGAATAATGCTGCTGTCAGCATTCAATGTACAAGTTTCGGTGTGGACCTATGTTTTCATTTCTCTTGGGTATATATGCTTCTGAGTGGAATTGCTGGGTCACATGGTAACCCTGTGCTTGACCTTTTGAGCAACTGCCAGACTGTGCTCCAAACTCCCCCTAGCAATGTATGAAGGCTCCACTTTCCCCACATCCTCACCAGCACTTGCTAGTATCTCTCTGATTAATGGTAGTGGGTGTGAAGTGGTATCTCAATGTGTTTGGATGTACATTTCCCTAATAATAATGATGTTGAGTACATTTTCATGTGTGTTTCTGTATATCTTTTTGGAGAAATGTCTGTTCAGATCCATTACTTGTGTTTTTATTATTGTGTTGTGAGTGTTCTTATATATTTTAGATACAAGTTCCTTTTCACATATATGATTTTTAATTATTTTCCTCCATTCTGCAGGTTATCTGTTCACTTTCTTGATTATGTCCTTTGTAGCTCAAGTTTTTAGTTCTGATGTAGTCCAATTTATCTTTTTTGTTTTTGTGGCTTGTGATGTTTTTGATGTCATATCTAAGAAACCATTTCCTAATTTAAGGCATGAATATTTATATCTACATTTTCTTCCAAGAGTTTTATAGCTTTGCTCTTAAATTTAGGTCTTTATGAGTTAATTTTTTGCATCTGGTGTAAACTATGGCTCCAACTACCTTCTTTCATCTGTGGGTGCCCAATCGTCCTGTACCATTTGTGGAAGAGATTATCCTTTCCCCAGTAAATGGTCTTGCCACCCTTTTAGGAAATCAGTTGGCACTGATATATGAGTTTATCTCTGGCCTTTCAATTCCATCTCCTTAGTCTGCGTGTCTACCCTATGCCCTCTTGAACACTATGCCTTTGTAGTGAGGTGTGAAATTGATCTGAGCCCTCCAACTTTGTTCTTTCTAAGGATTGTTTTGGCTATTCTGGGTCCTTTACATTTCCATTTGGATTCTGGATCAGCTTGGATTTTGGTAGGGATGGTGCTGAATCTGTAAATCACTTTGGGGAGTGTTGCCACTTTAACGATATTAAGTTTTCTGATCCATAAATATGGGTTGTCTTTCCATTTATTTAGATCTTCTTTCATTTCCTTAAAGAAACATTTTTAGTTTTATACTATCTTTTAAAAACCATTCGTTCCCCTCTGATTAACACCTTTGAACTTTAAACCCACTTAACACAGGTCTGTTTCTGGGCTCTAATTATATTCCATGGCTCATGTCCGCTGGCTGCTACACTAATTCTGCACCACTTTACCTAAAACAGCTTTGCAATATATTCTGGCACTGGATAATGAAGGCAAATTCTGGCACGCTAAGACCACCACCCCTTAAGATCCAATCACCACTGACCACGTGGTCACCCACCCCTTAAGATCCAATCACCAATGTAGAACACACCCCACCCCTACTCCTTAAAAATCCACTTCCTTACCCACAAGCTGCTGATCCCTCTCTCTGGGGGCAGCCACTTTCTCTTTCAGATAATAAAATCTCTTGTGTGGGCCTGCATCTCCTGAGTCGTTCTGGGGTAAGGAGGGTCGCGGCGAGATACCCTTTCAGGTAAAGCAAGTCTCTCCATACCTCTAACAATCTGTCTTTCTAAAATTTCTTGTCCTCATTTGTTCTCCCATATGGATGCCAGAATTACCTTAAATTCCAAAAATGGACATCTTTACAGTACTAAGCATACCTGTATTTGTCCAACTTACCTTTATGTGTTTCAATGATACACATATATTTTTCTTTGTGGGTTAACTTGATGGTTAACTTTATGTGTCAACTTGCCTGGGCCATGGTGTGCCCAGATATTTGGTCAAGAACTATGCTGGGCATCTCTGTGATGTTGTTTTTAGATGAGATTAACATTTAAATCGGTCATCTTGTTAGGCAGGAAAATAGACATGAGTGGGGTAGAAAGAGAAAAAGGTCAGTAAAGCCCCCTAGAAAGGATTTGGTTAACCATTTAAAACTAGAAATCCAGAAAAGACCCAGAGTTAATGAGTTAATCAGTTAAAGATCAAAAGGTCAAGAGCAACTTGCATAGATAAGGGAAAGTATGGCACAGCCCATGTCTTCATTGTGTCAATTAGATCATTGTAAGATTTCCTGTAGCCTGCTAAAAGGCCCAGCTACCAACAGCATAAACAGACAGGGAGATCCCACCTTAAAGCCAAAACTGCATTTTGAAAAAACCCAGGAAGTTAAGAAGAAAGATTCTTAACATGCTCTTTACCACACAGCAAATAACTCTGCCCACCTTGGAGGAAGGGCGTACAGTCGATTAGCTAATTTTGCAGGATTACCTAGAGGACTGATAAGAAACTTAACATCTCATCAAAGATACTTGAGACCACTTAACAAGTCCACACCCCCAGCCCTTTGTCACATTCCTGAAAAAATCCTTAAAAGGGGGAATCCCCAACCTTTCAGGGCGCTCCTGTCTCTGAGGTCGCCCACACTTTCTAAGTAACTTTAAATAAAACTTTTACTCTGCTTCACTACTGTGTGTCTGCCCTTCAGTTCTTTGTCATGGCGGGACAAGGACCGAGGAAAGTGCACAATGCCTCCCCCCCCAGCAACCTGAGGAGGGCTGACTGCTCTCTCTAGTGTGGGTGGGCCTCGTGTGATCAGTAGAAAGGGTAACTGTCTTTATGTATATGTATCTATATTTCTCCCCTCACTAGTTCTGTTTCTCTGGAGGACCCTAATCCAAGGTGCTCAGATTTTGGTACCCAGAAGTGGGGTGCAGCTATAACAAATACCTAAAAACATGGAAGCGGCCTTGGAACTGGGTGATGGGGGAAGGCTGGGAGAGTTTTAAAGCACATGCTGGAAAAAGCCTAGATTGCCTTGAAGGGAAAGTTGGTCGAACGATGGACATTCGAAGTGATTCCCGTGAGCTTTCAGGTCATGTTACTGGACATGTTACTGGAAACTGGAAGAAAGGCAATCCTCATTACAGAGTGGCCCCCGACTTGGCTGAATTGGGGTCTAGTGTTTTGTGGATGGTAGAATTTGCCAGTGATGAAATTGAATATTTTGCTGAGGTGGTTTCTAAGCAAAGTGTTCAAGGCAACCTGGCTTCTTAATGCTTAGAGGAAAATGTGAGAGGAGCCGGATAAAGCGAAGGAATCCTGAAGAAAAAGGAACCAGCACTTGGAGATTTGGAAAATTCTCAGTACACCCATATTTCAAAGAATGAGAAGGTGTGTCCTGGACGGAACACAGAAGATGTGGCTGGACAGTCACCCCAGAAGGAGATCACCCACAGAGTTAATCACCATCCCAGCAGAAGCCCAGAATAAAGATGGGTTTGTACCAGCAGAGACGCTGCTAGTTTAGACTAAAGGGAACAGAGGGGGGACAATAAAGGAAGGTGTTTGAACCTTTAGGATTCTGTAGGTGGGATAAGAAAGCTATTCAACTGCAAGCATCCTTATCCTTCAAGGGAAGTGAAGAATGACCCCGGAGGCTATCAGGGATCATTAGCGCTGCCCCTCCTACTGCAGGCCCATGGGAAGGGCTGTTCCTTTCTCAGTGATGAAGGGTCAGCCCCTCATCTCAGTTTCGGTGGCCAAGCTGCTCCTGCCCAGGGCTCAGGGACCACAGTGGTCTGGCTGCTGCCTCGGGCCAGGGAGCGGTGCCCCTGCTCCAGTGAGTCTGGGGGTCAGAGCACCGAGCTAAAGAATCATTCTCAAGCCTTAAGATTGATGGAATTAGCTTTTCCAGATTTGGGGCTTGATTGGGACCCATCACCCCTTTCTTCTTTCTGATTTTTCTTCTTTGGAACTGGAATGTCTATTTTATGCGTGTCCCACTGTTGTATTTTGGAAGTACACTGGTTTCACAGGTTCATAGCTGGGGAGGGATTTTGCCCCAGGATGACTCATTTCTCACCCATCCCCGATTTAGGTGACATTTAGTGAGACTTTGAACTTAGAATTGATGCTGGAATGGGCTAAGATTTCTGGGGATATTGGGATGGAGTGAGTATATTTTGCATGTGAGAAGGACACGAACTTTGGGGTCCAGAGGGTGGGATGTTATGGGTCAAACTACATGCCCTCAAAATGTATATGCTGAACTGCCAGTGTGACTGGGGGTAGGGGGGTCTATCGGAGGCATTGAATGCGGCCACAAGGGTGGAGTCTTAATCCAACAGGGACAGTGCTCTTACACGAAGATGCGACACCAGAAATCCCCATCTCTCCCTGTGCACCGAGACCATGTGAAGACATGGTGACCCCGTGGCTTGTCTACAAGCCAGACAGGCCTCACCAAAACCAACCCTGACCGAACCTTGATCTTGAACCTCTAGCCTCCAGAGCTGTGTGCAAGTGAATTCCTGTGGTCTAAGGCACACACTCTGCTGTTTTACTAAGACAGCCCTAGCAGACTAATACACTGTGTTCCTGCACATTTCTTTAAAAAATTTTTTCACAAATATTTTTTATCATCATATTGTTCAAGGTGGTATTTGGGATGCAGGTTCTGAGACTTTGTGCCCGTGTCATTCAGGGGGCCCTGCTCCTTCCCAGAGGCGGCCCTGACTCCCAAGCTCCAGACTAGCCCATGTTGGGGCTTCTGTCAGCAAACTACTGCCTTCAAACGGCCCAACCATGGTCGCCTTGTATTGGAAGACAGAGATGCTATGGTTTCCAAAGGTGATCCTTGAAGCCAGACACACACTTTATTTTAGACCGATCAGATTCCCCACCCCACACCCCAAAATGTATTAGAAACAAGGTGATGATTATAGTGTCAAAACACTGCATGTGTCGGCTTTACCTGGCCTCCTGATTCAATGACCTCCTGGCCACATGGGCGACTGGAGCATGGCCTTCTTCCCGGAGGCCTGCTTTTGGGGGTGCAGGCCCTTGGGGGCATCACTTGCACGGTCCCATCGGCTCTTCCACGCCTGCATGTCACTTGCCGGCTGTGGAGTCCTTCCCCGCAGGACACGGAGCACTCTGACCACGCACTCATGAACCACCTGGGGACGGACACCACAGTGGTTAGGGAGGGCTCGCATGCCAGACCCTCCGGGACGTGTGCAAAGGAGTAATGGATCCTGACACTGTGGCTGCTTCATGGCCGCCCTGCGTCTCTGCGGCCTCCCTCTCTGGTTTCCTCTTACTCCAAACTCCACGTAGAGACAAGCAGCCCAGAGTGGGTACGGCCGTCTTCAAGCATACTGGCGCTGTCACTTACGTGGCCCCAGAGAGGAGAAATAGGGCAAAGTGAGTGGACATTTCAAAAAGGTGGCATTCTACTCACTGAAATGAAAGTGAAGGAAATATTTTTAAAGCACCTATGAACTGTTTGCTCTGTGAGAGGTGTACACATATCTCACGTGATTCTCATGTTATTCCCACCCTTATAGGGAAGAAGCCAGCACCCAGGGGGTTAGATAACCAGGATATGGTCGCCTAATAATACGCCAGCAGAGCCAGGACTGGATTGAGGTTCACCTGTCCCTGAGCTTCACGTTGTAATAATGCCAGGGGACGCCTGGAGCTGGAAACCTCTGCCATACTGAGTCTGTCCTGAAGGTGCTCGAGTGGCTGCTGGGATTCTGCAGAGCATTGGGGGTGGGGGGGCCCCCGGGGCCCCCAAACTGAGGACCATTCACCAGGGACTGTGGGCGTGGCTGCTGAAAGAATTATGCTTTTCATTGACACTAGGCTCCAACTGAAATTTGGCATTTCCTTCCATTATGAAGGAAAGTCACAAAGTACAGAGCATTAGCAATCCCCAGATTGTGCTGCCGACAGCAGCTTCTCATGACATTACCAAGAGGCAGGCATCTCACAAAATCACTTCTATTCATCATCATTTCAAAATCAATGTACCATTAGATCTTATTTTAGTGTGTTAACAGAGACCTGGCTCTGCTCATGCTAGGAGTGTGCAAAAGGCTTGAGAATATTTAATAAACAAGGCTGCTGAGAAATTTCCCTGTGCAGATTCTTTCCACTTGGTGAGGCTCAAGCACTGATACAAAGCAGCTTCCTAGGATCAGTTTCCCGCTCGTTCCTGCAGCGTTCACTTGCTGCCCCCTGAGTGAGGGATGGCTCTTAGCAGGAGGTCCTCCTTTGAAGACTGTGATGGGTGTGAAGATGCCAGTCAGGGTGCCTGCACTCTCCACAGTTCTTCTAAGGTCATGAGCCAAGCATCTGTTTTATTTTACAGTGTGACCTGCCTCCCGCGTGCCTCTAAGGCACAACAGTTGCACCCAGTGTGGGAATCTGCATGAAGGCAGTGACATTAAGCACACCTCCATTTTATCCTCAGTAAAATGGGCTTAATAATAGTATCTGCCTCCTAGGTTTGTGCCCAATAAATGCTACTATGATTTGTTTGTTGGGTTTTTTTTCCACTGTCTATTTTGGTTTCATCTGGTTAATTACCTGCAAGGGACTGCGCTATTCAATCATTAACTCCTTCATTTCACAATATTTTTAGAGACTGTATATGGGGCAGACATTGTGCAGGTGCTGGAAATAAAATGTGAAGCAAAATAGTCATGGACTTACTCCCATAGAGCTGACAGTCTCATGGGAGAGCCAGACAGATTGTGCTAAGAGCTCTGAAGAATGGTAAGGAAATATGGAAAACACATAGCACAGGGCTGGGTTTAGTTTGGAGGCCTAAGGTCAGGAAGGGTCTCCCTGAAAATAGATGAATAGAAATAACTAAGGGAAAAGAGAGGGAACAGTGTTATAGGCAGAGGGAACAGCATGTAAAAAGGCTCTGAGTCAGGAGAGAGAATGGCATATCCAGGAACAAAAAAAAGACCACTGTGGATGGAGATCAGACAACCAGGCCGGGGGAGACAGACAGAATGGTGGCTGGAGGCTCAAGCATGGAAGGACTTCCAGTCTTTGACCCATTTATTCAGTCAGGCAGCAAATATTTACTGAGCATCTGTTGAGTGCTAAGCATTTTGGCCTTTGTCCTAAGAACAGCCAGTCACTGAAGGATTTTAAACAAAGGAGCTTCATGAGGACTTTGTATTGTGAAAGATGATCTCATAGGGTGGGAGGCACCCTAGGGATGGGGACAAGAATGAGGTGGCCCCAGAATAGTCCATGTAAGAAATGATGGTGGCATGGACTCCAGGCGCAACAGTGGAAATTGACGGGAACGGATGGAAATGGGAGAAGAAGGGGTCTCGGATCCAGTCGTTGAGATCTGGACCCTGGGGTCTGAGCAGGTCGGCTGGAGATCATGAGCTGGGCCTGGGACATTTGATTAAACTATTGATTTGTGTCCTCTATTCATAGAAAGGCCATCCACGGTTTTACCACCAGGGGTAGAATCTAGGAAGTGCCTCGGGCGGTTCTGGCCACCGCGTTACCTCCTGGGCAAACCCTGAGGTCAGCTTCCCTGGGCTCTTCAGTAGCAAACAGCGCTGGGAATGCAGGAAGCAGGTATGGGCAGGGAGCACAGGCGGGGCCTGCATCAGACCAGCACGATTTCAATCCTGGCCTCTGTAACCGTGTGGCCTCGGGAGCCTTCCCATCTGTAAAGCAGGAAACAACCAGCATCTACCTGCCAGGAAACGGTGAATCGCTGAGCAGGATGCCTGCTACGCAGACCCTGCTAAGTAAACCTCAGTGGCTGAGTTCTTAAGTCCAAATTACTGCGCCTCTCAAAGCAAGCAACAACCAGGTACTGAGATAAGAAGATGTCACGTACCTCGCAGGGCAGTCCCGGATGTTACAGGGCTGGACCCCGGCTGGTGGCTTCTGGATGTGGCCACAGCTGGCCTCGCTCACTTCCCGCCCGTCGGCCAGCACACACTGGGGCCTTCGAACGCGCACTCCCAAGGGGCCGCAGGAGGCAGAGCAATGTGTCCAGTTTCCAAGCTCCCAGAAGGGCTCTAGGGAAGGGAAAGGACGGTCAGGACGGTCAGGTGGGCCCCGCGTGGGGGAAGATGACGGGCCGGGGATGGCATGGTCATGGACCACTGCTAGCTGTTTTCTGGGGAGCTGCCTGTCTGCCTCTTTGAGTAGCACACAGAGAAAGCCAGCACCCCCTGCAAGAGCACCCTTGAACCCCCATTTCCCCTCACCTAACTTATTGTAACAGCCAGTGGGGAGGGCGGCCAGAACAGGGCTCTTGGCCCGCAGCCTGGGAGAGGGTCTACCGTAGGCCAAGGAGACGTGCCAGACAAAGCCCTGAGCGGAAGGAGGTGCTGCCTGCTCAGCCCTCTCCAAGCTGAGCCGGGGAGGCAGCAGGGTGGCCTCTCCAGATGAAGCCCTAACGGGCTCTGTTTCCCAGAGGTGGAGCCGGCAGAGAAATGGAGATGATTCAGCAAGGACGGCAGACCACGCAGTAAGGGTAAAGGTGCATTTCAATTCCAGTCCTACTTTTCCATTCTTAGTCTGAACTTCAGATTAGTCCTCAAACTGCATAAATAATCTGTCATGGAGACATCTGGACAGGTAAGAATGGGCGTTTCCTTTAGAAAAGTTAACGCTGACCACCTCCCGTAATTATAATTTTATTTTAGTCCCCATTCCAAACGGCCTTTCTGCCCTTCTGACATTTGGAAAAAGATGAGGTAGAATAGAATGATGGCAGATTTGAGTATGATCACAGAAGGTGCCAGATTTTCCTCTAATAATCCCAAGTAATTTCCAGCTACCAGCTGCATCCACAGGCTCTCTCACGTAGCACAGTGATTTCTTTAACTTACGGTTTTCCGGTTTTTCTTCCTGGCTCTTGAATTTTTGCCTTCGGTTGCACATGGCATCATTCACAAAGCAGAGCCAGAGAGAGTTTGGGTTGGGCCCCCCAGGATTACAGTTTATTTAAAATCATTTTTTAAAATAGCTGTTTATTGAGAACCTCCCAGGTGACAGGTACTGAGTTCAACACTTTTCACAGCAGATTTTCATTTCATCCTATGGCCATCTTGTGAATTAGATTATTTTTATTTGCGGAAGTAGAAACTAGACATTCTCAGTGACTTTCTCAAGGTCACTCATCTGACCACTTGACGGGATCCCAAGTATGTCTGACTCCAAATCCAGTTCTTTCTACGAAGCTGCATTTCACCAAGATGCCTTGACAGCTCAAGACAGGATGCACATGCACTTCTTAAAAAGCATGGGTTTTTAAATTGAAGTATAATTCATATACCATAAAATGTTCAGGTATCAGGTGTGCATTTTTTTTATGAATTATTAACATAACCATGATCCGAAGCAAGGTATAGTAACATTTCATTACCTGGAAAAGCTTCCCAATTCCTCTCTGAATCAATTCCCCTCCCCTCCCAGGCAACTACCTGCTCATTTCTATCAGCATCGATTAGTGGTACGTGTTCTTGGACTTTGTAATGATGTAATATATGTATGATTTTGAGGTCATCCCTCTTTTTGTGCACATCAGTTCATTTACTTTATTGCTATGTAATATTCCACCGTATGAATATACCAGTTTATTTGTCCATTCTCCTGACAGGGGCCTTGATGAAGTAAAGGCTGCTATGAACATTCCTACACAATTTTTTTTGTCAACATGTTTTCATTTTTCTTGAATCAATAGCTGAGTGGAGTGGCTGGGCCGACGGAAGGTGTATGCTTGACTTTAGTAGAAAGGGCCGTATCTTTTTCCAAAGTGGCCGTGTCCTTTTACAAGCCTGTCGGCAGTGTATGAGGGTTTCAGTCGCTTTGCATCCTTGCCAAAATTTGGTATTGTCAGTCTTCTTGTTTTCACTGGTCTGGTAGTTGTGAAATCATATCTCACTGTGGTTTTGACCTTCATTTCCCTGATGCCATCTGTATGCCTTCTTTTGTGAACTGTCTGTTCAGGCCCTTCTGCCTGCGGTCTTTGGTGGGGAGGGGAGAGTTCATTCCTAACCTAAGGAGGTTCTTCAGATATTCTAGATACAAGTTCTTCATCAGGCATATATTCTGCCAATTTTTTCCTGTCTGTGGCTTATCTACTCATATATTCAGTGGTGTCTTTGATGAGCAGATTTTAAAGATTTTGATGAGGTCCAATTTGATAATGTTTTTGTTCTATGCTTGGCAATTTTTGACACATGCATTTGAAAAGTAGAGCTAGCTACTCACTCCCATATAAGACTCTTCAATGGCTTCCCACGTTTTAGGAATAAACTCCAATCTTTACCTGGACCCTCAGCAACTCTCCATCTTCATCCCATCCCCCTTTCCTCCTCCTCTGTAGGCCCCCATCACCTAAATCTTCTTTCCTCCACCATATTAATTAAGCTTGATCCCTCTGTATGATCCATAAGCTTACTGTTCCCTCTGCCACAAACACTCCCTGCTCACGTCTCTGCACGGATGCCTCTAGCTCACCCTTTGGGCCTAAGCTCACACGGCCTCCTCACGTCACTCCCGACCACCTTTCCTGAAGTGGCCTCGTCTAGTCGCCATGTCACCACCCTGTTTTGTTTCTGTCATTGCCGTTCTCATGGGGAAATATCTTATATATTTATTTGCTGACATGTTCACTGTCCATCTCTTCTGCCGGAACACCAAGTCCACGAGGGTGGGGATCTCTTCTATCCTGTTCACTACTAGGTGTGTTATATCTTCAGGACTCAGCAAGGACTTGTTAAATTAATAAATAAGTCTCTTTGAAATGCTAAGGTAAGGATCCACTGAAGGGCTGTATTTCACAGTGTGTACACATGTGTGTGCGTAAGTGCACACGTGTGTGTAGGAGGTGATAGAACAATGCAGGTGGTGCTGATAAACACACTTTTTAAATATTTCAAAGCTTCAGCTTTAACCAGCAGTCTCAGCCTCATGACGGTCCAACATTTCTATTAATCGATTTGGAGGAGTTCCTTTGATCTTCACGGTCCATGGTACAGGGAGCTTCTCTCTGCCTTTGCAGAGAGATCCTGGTTCCTCTGCCTGGAATGTTCTTCACCTTCCCAGAACGAACATCGTGACCTATATGAAAACCTGGTTGACCTCTGCACACAGTCAGGGCCTCTTCCTGGACGCTGCCATCATCCTCTGGTCATCCTATCACAGCGCCTGTCCTGCTTCAAGCACCTGTTTACACGACTGCCTCCCTCTGTAGGCTGAGCTTCTCTCGGGGTTGGTCACGTCTGCATCCCCGGTCCTGGCAAGAGCGAGTACTGGGCACATCCTTTCTGAACGCTGCTAGAGATGTTGTGTCCCTCCACGATTCATACGTCAGACCCAGCATCCAAGGTGATGGGCTCAAGAGGTGGGGCCTTTGGCAGGTGATTAGGTCATGAGGGTGGAGCCCCTGTGAATGGGATTAGTGTCCTTATAAAAGAGACCCCCCAGGAGCTCTTCACTCCTTCTGCCCTCTGAGGACACAGCCAAGAGTCAGCTGTCTATGAACCAGCTCAACAGATACCTGGTACCTTGACCTTGGGCTTCTCAGCTTCTAGATCTATGAGAAATAAATGTCTCTGGATGTTAAGCCACCCAGTCTATAGCAGCCCAAACAGGCTTAGACAAATGTTGAATGAATGGGTAATAGTGAGTATAATAATGGTAGTATTATGCCTGAAAGAGAAGAAGTATATCCTCCAAATATCCTCCAAATACCCCTGTATAATGATGTCATAAATTACATGGATCATTGACTGGTGGCTCAGCACTGTTTTCCCCTTCTATGCTCCCCCTGCATCTCGGGAAGTGGAAGTCTAGGAACTATGTTCCTATAATTCCTATTGGCAGAGATTTATTCTGTAGGACATATTCTGCCAATGAGAAGCACTTGCTCAGATTTTTGAAATGGTATAGTCATCATTGTTTCTGTATAGTAGATTCATAATAACTCATGAGGTCTACTGTAGCTTCTGTGTGTCCTGTGATTTACCCATTTTTGAGCTATAAGGAGCTAAGGCCATCAGTACTGGTTTCTTGTGAATCTAGCATTTCTGATTTTCTTAACTCCACTTCTCTCCCTTGGCCCCCTGAACAGTACTGCAAGCTTGAAAAAAGTAAATTAGGTTTTCTTGACCGAGTGCTGATATAATATAACAAAGTTACTATATGGGGTGAAAAAAATGAAAGAATTGGTTCCAGAATTCTCAGCAGATCCTTCCTCTATTGATATGACCAAGTTGGCAATGGTCTCAAAACGGGAAGATCAATACCTGTATTATCACAAATGATGGTGCACATTTGGGTATGAGTTCCACGGGCTTCCTCAAGTGTAAAATAAAAAAAAAAAAGTTTCAATATGGAAGGAACAAATTGAACCACAGAAGGCTGAGGGGCATGGGGGGAACATTGGCCCAAGGCTTAGGAAGAATTTTACTTATTGCAGAGTACAAAACATGGAGGGTCTTTTAGGTAAATACTTCTCCTTGCACATGTCTTACAAACATCAAATCCCCCAACAGACAAAATCCCAGACCTGTAGATAGCGGTTTTTGTGTTGCGTCGCTGCTACCATTTCCAGGGCTGGATGCCTGCAGCGTATGATTTTTACGGTCCTTGGAAAATACAAGTTCACTGTCTGGCCGTCTTTGTCCTGAGGGGGAAAAAAAAGAACATTTGTTTACCAATTAGAAATTACTTAATTTCTGCTCTAGTTTGCGTGTTCTTAAAGACTACAGCTACTAGGACGGAAACTGTTCCAACACAGTGCCCGGGGTGCCCAGGCTCACCCAGACCTGGGAGTTCTGTGTGGGCTTGGGGGTGGAACAAAAACACTATAGGGTTTTTGTTTGAGTTATTAACTGTGCTATCACAGGGCATCTCTGCAAGGTTTCAGTCTTCATAGCCTAACTAACAAGATGGAAAACGTATATTCACCGCAATTCCACGAGGGGCCGAGGAAGCATCTGGCTCTGGCAGAGCTCCGACCCTCTGAAGCAGGAGAATGGGTCCTGTAAGGGGGCCCCCCCGTGGTGAGGACTGCGGGTTTTCGGGAAGGTCACGGAGCTTATGCAGAACAGCAGGAGGGTGGGGGGAGACTGCTGGGTGCTGTGGATGTGCGACATTCTAGATTCCTCACTCAAGCTACCAAGGGCATGGGCTGCTGGGCTTGGGGGGCTTCTGAGAGGAGGTGTGCAGACAGAACTGGGACAGCCGTGCTCTCTCCTGCGTGGCCTGGGGATGCGGGGCATAGGCTGGCACTCGCCAGAGGGCACGAGGAAGCTGCTCAGGAATGAGGCATGCTGGCCAAGCCATCTGATGAAAATCTGCCATAGGTCCACAGAACCAAGATCCTAGAAGACCACAGAGGCTACTTGGGAAGGGTCCCAGGG